AGAGTAGATGGAACCCAGTGAAATCCTGCAAACCCAGATCTAGCCTTCATTTTCCATTCTTCCAACATGGTCTGCTTGAGTATTCTCTGCTGCAAACTAGGAGCTGGAAACTGAGGGAGAAGAATAGAACCAGCACCACCTGGTGTTTCCTTGAAACTCAAAGAGGGAAAAATAGTTAGCTATCCCTCAGTGTCTATGGAGAATGGGGTCCAGGGAGGACCCCTGGGGATGCACATCCATGGATGTTCAAGCCCCTTATATAACTGCATTTGCATAACCTACTCACTTCCTCCTGTATCTAAATGATAGCTAGCTTGATTCTAACCCCCAAGACAGTGGGAATGCTGCACTGTATTGTTTAGGGGGAATGACAAGGAAAAAATGTCTGAGCACAATTTTTGTCCAGAATATTTTGATGTGTGGTGGATTAAATAAACAGTTACACGCAGAACCTACAAGTATCCCAACTGTATATGATTTTGTTTCATAGCTTTGCAATAAAGAAAAAAACAGGGTGCTATGGTTTAGATGTGAGGTGTCCCCCCACCAAGCTCATGTTTGACACAATACAGGAAAGCTCAGCAGTGAAAGGATTGGGTTATGACTGTATGAACCTAATCACAGTATTAATTTCCTGATACGGGTTAAGTGGGTGGTAACTGGAGGCAGTTAGGGTGTGGCTGGAGGAAAGTCCCTGGGGAGGTGCCTTTGGGGTTTATATTTTGTCCTTGATAAGTGGAACCTTCTCTGCTTCCTGGTACCATATTCCCAACTGCTTTCCTCTGCCACACCTTTCTGCCATGATTTCTGCCTGACCTCAGGCCCAGAGCAATGGAGTCTAAGGACTAAGATCTCTGAACCCTGAGCTCCTGAACACACGTTTCTCCTCTAATTGTTCTTGTCAGGTCCTTGGGTCACAGCAGTGAAGAAGCTGACTGGAACACAGTCTGTTTGCTTTTTCTGTCCTGTAGCAGGATCACCTTCTTGTGTGTTGCACTCTTGCCCAGAACAAACAAAACACAGCAAAGAGATTTCAGTTCACTCACTTTAAAAAGGTTCTCATAACCCTCCCAAGGTGAGTCCACTATGTTACTCTAAGCTGTGTTAATCTCTGTTTTCTTCTCTGTCTCTCCTGCACCAGTTTCATGCCAGGGGTGGTTGGTGTGAAGAGCCAGTCCATGTTCTTGTCAAGATCATCTTCTCGGGCTCTCCTGTGGGGGCTCATTCTCCCCTCATGTTCTCAAATGAGAGCATAGGGCATGGTCACTGTGGTGAGGCTGCCTCCTGGACACACACCTAGTGACTCTACTGTCCTTTGCATTAGTTCCTGAACCTCCCTGGCACTGGTTCTTTTCTTTTTGTGATGTGAAGATCGTTATCTGCACCTGAGCCATTGTGAGGACCTCCTAAACACCTTCTTGCTTCATGTGAAAAAATGACAATTATTCAGCTAAATTAATTGCACAGATTGATGGGCTTCATTTGACACCTCCAACTCTGCATTTATCCTGCTTAGAATGCATCTGCCCTCAGTGCTGCTGGCTCTTGCCCTACCACCTCCTCCCTTCAGCCTCCATCTCCTTCCCTAAGCAACCATCACTGGCTCCACACATCCTGTCTTGGTGTCCCAGCTGAAGGTGGGAGGCACTTGAACATACCTATTTTGCCCCTGGCAGAGTCTCATTTTCACATCTTATTACTTGTGCACCTCCTTCCTGAGAGGGTCCTTAGCTTTCATTCTGTATCCCCAAACATCATGACAGCTAAAGAAAGGGAAGGGTTATGACATGGACCATGTTCTGCTCCTGAATTTTAGGCAGTGCATTCATCATAATGTGCAGCCCATGTTTGTTTCTGTGGACTCAAGAAAAATCTGCCTGCATTTTGTGTGCCCACAATAGTGAACTAACACCTAGATTATGACATGTGGGATGAAAAGGGGTTTTGCTGTTTTAGTCAACTCCTTCTTCTGAGTTGACCCCTTGGTACCACCATCAAGTGACAAATTGGTTTTAAAATATTGTGAAAGACAAGCACAGTGGGGTTCTGGATGCATCTCAGGTTGGCCTTACAGGCTGGCTTTGTACCTCTCCCTGGAGCTTTCAAGTGTCCTGAAACTTGATTTTACCTGAGCCACTTCTACCTTTGGTGATGCTTTGAGGTCTACAGAAAGAAATAAGATGTAAGCCTTGCTCCCCAAGAGCTTGCCTTCAAGTAATATTTAAAAGTGTCATTCTCCAGATTCCCCGAAAACAGTGAAGCTCTTACCAATGAGGGCGTCATGAGTTTCTGAATTTTTGCTGAGGGCTTCCCAAATTGCCTTCATGGCCCAGTACTCCCAGTCTCCCCATTAAGTTGGGTTTATTTTCTATATATTTTGCATGATACAGTGGATGGATCTCTGTCCAAGAGACCCGGATTCTTCTGAAAAATTAGGTAATGGAACAAGGTGTCCATTAAACCTCCTACAGCCCTGTCACTCTGGATTTACTAATTCTGTTGAATTATCCCAATGATAAGCCAACTATTCTGAATGTACAAAGATGAATTACTGGTTACTTGTTTCTAAGCAATTAAAATCTAGTAATGATAATATCAATGTTCAGTTCCACAATAACAAATGAAATGTACCTACCCCAACTACAAGAAGAGTTGGAAAATTATAAAGGCCTAGGAGAGAGAGAAAGCAGGTGTGGAGGACCATAGAGGAGAGGGTGAATAGTTATGGTTGGGGGAAATCTGAAAGAAATTTACAAAATTAATTTTGCTCTGAGTCCTAAAAGGTCAACATGATATCATCTGGTAGAGCAGGAAACCATGGAAAGACATGGAAAGACATTCCATGCTGAGAAAACAGCCTGAACAAGGCACAGAGGTGTGAGCATGCATGGCCTAGTCCAAAATGCAACCCACAGGGACATGGAGCTGGGAAACTTTACCCCACCCCTTGACCCCCACCACCAGCAGAGGAAAAGTGTTTGAATCTAAGGAACCAAGAAATGATAAATTAAGCCCTATTAAGGAACATACTAAAAGGCAGTGGCATTTAATATGTGCATTGGGGAGTTGCCTTTACATGATTTTATCTAAAAAAAAGGGGGGGAAAGGGTTGAGGGGAGGTGTCACGACCCCCTTGCCCGCAAGGAAGACGCGACTCAGGAATCTTCTTTCAGCAGTTTATTCAGGCCCCTGATATTCTTCTAATGATTCTTCTACTACCCGGAATAATAATTGGATGCCCCTCCCAGCCTTAATAAAGCACCTCGAACCCCAATGCAAAGCTGCCACGTGTACCCTTCTCACAGGGTGCTAGAAAATGACACGCCAACTTTCTCTGATAAGGAGCTGGGAACACGCCAACTCTCTTTGATATGGAGTTGTCCTTCACAGACCACAACGGAGCCAGCGCCATCATGTAATGGCGACCACAGTCCGCAGGAACGGCTCACCACAGGGAGGGAGGTAAATCCTTCGCTGCCCTTTCTAGGCACATATCAATTCATTTCTGGGTTGACAGTGTGAAATGGTCTGCCCTCCTGAAAAGCAAACATCTTATTTTCAAACCTTCCAAGAGCCTTGAATCCCCTGCAGATGCCATTGTTCCCCAGCTGACCTTTTAGCAGGGCCTATTCACCTCCAAGCTGGTGGAGGTGACACAGCTCCCACTGAGCTCAGGACCTCTCTGTAGCAGGCTTCACAGGAGAGTTCTTTCCTGTCCAGGAAGGATTAGCACTTTTCTTCAATTTGACATTTGGGTTCTGAAAAGCCTACCAGCTGTGTACTTTTACAAGCCTTTTATTTTAATTTTTATCTATCATCTTCCTTAAAGACCTAGATTGCTGAGCCTTCCTAGAATGGGAGGGAAGTTTTAAGTCTTTAAGCCCCTTGCAAAAATGTCTGTGCACAGGTTGCCTCTATTATCTCAGGAATGAAAGGTATGCTTCACTATTTTTTACCATTATCCACTAATATGGCTAGGATTCTAATTTGGCAGATGATGTGAAACTCCCCTATAGTATTTTACTCTTCAAGCCCAGTTATCTGGGGTAGGAGAAATAAGGACTCCCTAGAACAGGTTATCTGGCTTATTCCCTCCTCCCTGCTGGGGTGGCACACTACAGCAGATCCTTCTGCTATTGTTCCAAGACCTTGTAAAAGCTGACATTCCCCCTCATGCGTGGGTGAAAAGGCATCTCAGACCACATAGTGCATTTGAAGAAGTCTAGAGAGCCCACTTTGTCTGAAGTTCCCCTGGCTGCCCCCACCATGTCTGAACATCTCCCATTAGCCATTGCTTTGGCTGGAAGAGTAGAAGACCTCTGTTAAACTGAAGTGACTTCTCTGGGAAACACATTAAGCTATTAACAGTTGGACACAAATTAGTTTATCAGACAGGAGCTGGCCTTGCAGGATCTGCAGTGCAAAGGAAGTATATAGATCATTGGTTCCAGAAGAGGAAAAGCAGGCCTTTGGTTGGGCAGCTGTTTCCCAAGGGAGCAGCAGTGGCACCTTCAAGATGCCAGGCTTTAGGCTCGGCTTTCTGCTTGATCTCCTCCCCTCTTCATTCTGCCTTAAGGAGCAAAAAGGGCACTCTAACTCTCATTCAGGAGATATTTGTCACGTGTCTACCACAGCTGGGAAGGTGATGAAAATTTGGAGAGGTTTATAGGAGGGAAGACAGACACAGAAATAAGTGAGTACTGAGTGACAAGGGACAGATCTCTTGGATGCTGGGGATGGAGCAGTCTGGAGTATTGTTCAGCCAGTAAAAGGCAGATACAATCTCCAGGGTCCTTCCCACAATACCAGGATTTGGGGCCCCACCTTGTGACTTCCTTGAAGGGTCACACTCGGGAGAGGGGCCAAGGTTGGGGTGAGGAAGAGTCACTGCCTACAATGGTGAGCATCAAATTGTCAGGCCCAGGGGATGGGTTAGAAGGCTATGAGCTGAAAGAGGCCAACAGCCAGGAGGCACTTCAGGGCAGATCAACACAAGCATTATGGTCAACAAGGCTGAGCTCTTCCCCCTAAGCCACATGCAAGTTCTGGTGGAAGATTACAGAGATGGGTTGAAAGAACAGAAAGGTATAGAGAGAGGCAGCTTGGATGTGGAATAACTCTCAAGGATGTTTAAAGGAGCCACTTTTGTCTGCAAATCTTCAGTGCCCTGACACCTGCTTGGGTGAACTCACAGCTTTTTCCTTTGGAGCTTCCTGGAGCATGCAGCAGTGGCTGGCTGGTGATGTCAATTGATGATGAAAATTGTCTTTTTCATACACTCTTACTGCATGCCTCCTGTGATTTCAGCAGCCACCTAATCCGTGTCCCTCCCATAGCCTTCATATTTTCAAAGCTGTCCTCTCACCACTACTAAACAGGGTTTTATGAAAGGAGAACTTGGATAAATTGTTTTATAAGAATCAAAGGTAGAACTCCCTTTGTAAGAACCTGTTTGCTCCAGCCTGCCCAGAAGCTTCAACTTCTTTCACTTGATTTCTAAATTCTGGTCACACCAAACCTGTCATACCTTTTCACCTCTGTGCAACCTGGTACATGCTATTCCACCTTCCTAAGGTGCTTTGCTTCTCTTGTTGGACATTCCTTCAGCCTTCTAGATGCAGGCAAGTATCACTTCTGTGACACCCTTCCATGCTCCCAGGCTTGTGCATAGCGTTTCCTTTATGTACCACTGTATACTGTGTGGCACTTGTTTGTAGTACCTGTTACATTAAGTGCAACAGTTAGTGTCTTTCTTCCTACTGGACTGCATGTGTACATGGTAGGAACACACATATGCATGTACAATCACACACCAGAATAGGTCTCTTTCTTACTCTCAACTCCCTGGACATACCTGGGTAAAAATGCTTCATAAGGAATATTTGCTAAGTGAGCTGGGACACTATGGTCTGAAATGTGTGAGGTCTGAAGAACAAGGCTTTATTCCCTTCAATTAAAATGAGGGCAGGTGCCATTATATCTCCCTCCCTACCTCCCCGTTCCTCTGCATCATGAATGGTACTTTTTGTCTTTCACCATTAAAAATTTTGATTGAAAACTAATTGTCCATTCAGTGCCTTCCTGGAGGTGTGCGGTTTTTAATGCTCTGGCTACCCTTGAAAGCACAATGACCCTATAAATGCTTCCCCAGAGAGCACACAGGGACCAAATCTTGCAGCATTTTCACACAACCAGAGGCTTTGAACTCTACATCTTCCTACCCAACACAAAGGGACCCCTTAAAAAAAAGCACTAGACAGTTTTATGGTACAAAATAGAATGAGGCACTTTTAGCCAATAAGATTTAGTCAAGCTTTATTTTTGGAAAAATAGTTATTTTAGAATTTGGTTTCTAAATATATATTTTAATATAAAATGTTTTTTTCAAATGACACATGCTCTCCCCTTACATGTTCCCTAAGGTGTCCCTTGAGACTTCTCTTGAGACTTCAAAATTTCTCCCTATGTTTCCATCTCCAGAGACAGAGGTGCACAAAGAAGGTTTCCTTGTAGCCATTCAGTCTTGTAGGGCCATACATTTCTTTGTTGGGCCTCAGGTAGGATGTCTGGGCCTGGCTCAGTCCTAATTGCTGATGAAGCTATATGAAACAGTGGGACAGTCACATTGAGCTCCACTTTTCCAGGCATGAGGACACAGTGGGGCAACAAATTGGTCAAGATTGTTGGAATTTGTCATCTAGTTAGATAAGGCAGAAAATAAATAAGAACAAAAGTTGGCTTAGTTAACACAGTGAGCAGAACAAAGGAGAGAAGAAAAATAGTAAGGAGTAGGAAAAGTTTGCTGCACTAGAAGTCAGAAGTTCCTATGAGTAGGTGATGTTTAAAATGAGATCATAGGTAGGCCTAGGGGAACAGTGTCTCAGGTAGAGGGACTATCAGATGCACATCCTAAGCTGGGAAGGATTTTTCTATGATTGAGAAGAAAGAGAGCCACTGTTGCAAACTGGAGCAGAGCTGACAAGGTGCAGAAAATGGGAGATTAACCTGTAGGTCATAGAAAACTGAAGATTTTTTAACTATGAAGGGAAATAAAATCCTGAGAAACGTATGTAATGTGACAACATTTTTATTTTATTAGAATGTTTTAAAAGATCACTTTTAAAAGGATTGAAACCCATTTTATCACTGCCCCTACTACTGAATACAATATAAGGCAACTCTATAAGTTCCCATCATAGCTCTTATCAGCAAGAGAGAGCCAGGATTTCTATCCCCAAATGTCACTGTTGCCCAAATCAGAGACAAGCACTGTGGTCTGGGTGGCCAGTGGCCTCTTGCTTTGGAGAACTGAAAGAATTCTGATGCTTGTCAGGATACTAAAAGTTTTGGGAGGTCATGGAGGATCACTGTCAGGTTAAAGGATGTTGGACCCAGGTCAAGAGTTAGACAGAAAAGTGGGGGAGAAGAGTGCCTGGTTCCTCAAAATATCAGAGAAAGGCACAGGGCAGCTTGCAGGAGGTGGAAGAGACTGAAGAGGAAACAAAGGTCACAAGGCGGCCTCCTATGTCCTGTCCCCTCCTCCTCCTGCCAGGGCCACGGATGTCCTTTCTTTGGCAGCAGCCAGGTGTGTTTGAAAACACACAAGCTCTGTCCTTCACATAGCATGAAATAAATATTGCTGTGTCTGTGGCTTGTGAGATAGCGCAGGGTGTGTGTGTGTGTGTGTGTGTGTGTGTGTGTGTGTGTGTGTGTGTATGTCTGTGTGTACCTGTGCTCAAACATCCATCCTACAGCCACAGTTCCAGGTGTTTGGGGGCAGTGGCCCCAGAGTGGCTCTTTGGAACTACTTGGGAGAGTTTGGTACTGAAAAAAACCTGATAGAGCTGAGCACAGGTTGGGAACTGCAAGGGAGAGTGTCCAGGTTGAGGACCCCAGAGGACCAGGAAGACAGTCTGTGCAACCAAAGTCCCTCTGGGGATCCTACCTCTCCCTTCTGCCCAAGGCTGTCTGACCTACCTGTGCCCTCCTCCGAAGACTTCAGTACCTCTTAGCTGCGACCATCTCTCCCACTTCCCTCCAACCCTAGACAGTGGCCAACCGGCCCACTGAACGCCAGTGGTCCCGCTGGGTGGCTTCAGGCCAGCAAGGGGGCAGAGTTCCTCTGGCCTCTGACCCCTCTGCCCCCATTCAAGGGCCCCAGCTGCCTCTGTGCCATGAGGAGCCAGTGCTGGGTCTCAGAGGGAGTTTGTTTGATTTGGCTGAGGCAGGGAGACAGGCGGGGAGTGCATGACCAAGGCAAGGGAGTGCATGACCAAGGCAAGAGAGCTGGGCGGCTCAGGACTCCATGTCTGGTCTGCCCCAGTGCCCAGAATGCCCACAGGGGCTGCTGCAGAGAGGACCACCCGGGAGGGACCGGAACTGCATGACCAGACCTTGCCTGCAGGCAGGCCAGTGATTCAGCTTCTCCCCCTGATTCCCCTTTCTTCCTATCCCCCTTCCCTCCTGCCCTGAAGTCAGATGGACATGATGCTGTGGCGCTGGGTACAGAGTAACACCCCCCTGAAACTGGTAAGGGAGGATTGAAGACCTCACTCCTAGGCACTGCTGTTTCACCCCCACTCCTCCCTGCTTCCCTTTAGGAATTGTCTCTGTGGTAGAAAGCCCCTGATTCTGTACTTGGTATTTCCCTTATTGTTTTGAAGATATATTTCAGAATGTGTGTGTGTGTGTGTGTGTGTGTGTGTGTG